GCCATCGCTCAACAGAACTTCGGAGTCTCGACCAAGGATGTATGCTGCCGCTGAGACACGTATAAAGGGTCTGCGTGTGGCCATTGAATTGACCTAAACTGGCCATTGTAACAAACCTTCAGAACTCGCCTTACGAGTATCCAGAGTATCAGTTGCTAGCTCTCGTGAACTTACCAGTGTATGTACAGCACTGAGTTATAGAGCAGAAAGTTCCCTTCTCGACTGGATTCCGGTCAACAACCACCTGTGTGCTGTTCGACTAAATGGACTGTAAAACTAGGAAGAATCGAGAGACTAACCAATGTCCATTTGCAGGTTCCACCTACACACCCACCGACTCCAGTTGTGATGATGCAGAAGTTGAACCCGGTCAAAAACCGCAAATTTTCCTACATAAAGCAAAGTGCTAAGATACAGTTGCAGTAGCAGTTGACTTCAGAATTCAAGTAGGGAGACAGCCAATCGGAAAGTAAAGTCGGAAGTATTGGACTATTGCTGATCATACAAAAGTAGTCGTGAAGTAGTAGGTTTATCAGGAAAGACGGCATGTTCAAGAGTAAGTGGGTTGAATAGTCGTACTATAGATGCTATCAATATAAAACCGTTTAACTCATATAGGTTTGCGCTATGTGGGTTTCAGCGTAAATGCAGCACCTTGTCTGAGTTAGACAAGTGGGAAGTAACAATGTGGGCCGTTCTTCCTGTGTTTAGACTCGACGTGCCCTACGAAAATTCGAAAATCTTTTTTGCATGATTAGTTCTTCAGTGTAAAACCACTAATCAGTGGGTCATTAGTTTCAAAGTAGATATGGTCTACGTCACTTTTGCAGAGATGTAGGTATTTATGAGGAAACGTTTGAGTCAGTATCACTCATAATCACTTATGATATGTTGGAGGCATAGAGTGTCTATCTGATGCTTTAAATCCACTGTGTCACCATTTCCATACTACACACATTCGTAAAATAATTCATACGTCTTAATACTGGTACATGGATCACACTGCATTTCAACGGGAAATCAGTCGGTTATCTGATATTCGTTTTACCCAAGAATCTGAACTATTATTTTACTTGTATACAGCCATCAAAACAAACAGTCATAGAGGTCGTTACTATTTTCTTCTCCCAAGCTAACCATGTGACCATTAGAATCCGTTTCTGAAAGCCAAACTCTTTTAAAAGGTTTCCAAGGTCTTAATTTTGAGAACATAAAAGGATGCTCATCATTGAAGACATGGATTTATCATGGTATGCTGAGTTTAATTCAAGCATATACTTTCCAGGGTATGAAAATTTACATACAACCCGCAGAAAATTTATTAGCCTGTAGTGCACCTTCCTGGCACCAAAATATAACTAGGGCTAAAATAAATAGTTTAAATTAAATTAACTAAATAAATCTCTAGCTTGCCTCCGGATGCTTAGGGTGTTTTAAGTTTTGTTTTAACGAGCATGCATCCGAGCAGGCTTGGACGCCATTTTTGCGCTCCATTGTGCTGATCACCACGCACGTACTCCGAGTCCCTAGTTCAGCCTTACAAGCCAGATAAGTTGATTAAACTTTTCCCTCATTCATTATTATAACATTTACCTTAAATACATAGCTCCTTTAAATACATTGCGTATCAGTTCTTTTGATTTGTGTTTTGTTACCAGTACTTACACGTTAGGTAAAGTACTGGTTAAGCAGGTACTAGAGCACATCAAATTAAGTAGGGTTGATCAAACGTTACGGAATTGTAACACGCATCCCTACAAAATTGGTGAGCCCGAGTATCACTTCTTACTTTGTCTAGTACCTTTGTTCTCTTGCGTTGATTTGTCTGGCCTAATTTTGTTTTTGGCACGTCTAGCGTTTTTTTAATATTATTGCACTCCTCATTGGTTATTTTTGCATTGTAATTTTTTTATTATCACTATCGTGCCTCGTTAATTCCCTGATCAATGGCGGATAACGACTCGACTGCGCAGATGGCCACAACCCTCCAGCTTCCCACCTTCTGGGCCCACAGACCATCTGCATGGTTCTCCCATGTGGAAGCTCAGTTTGCCTTGAGACACATTCAATCACAAGAAACTAAGTCCAACTTAGTCATCGTCAGCTTACCGGAAAATGTGATTGAAGACGTCTCAGATGTGCTAGATGACCCAGCACCGAATCTTTACGATCGCCTCAAAACCGCCCTCATCAAACGTGTTGCACTTACTGACCAGCAGAAAGTGCAAGAACTTTTCAGGGATGTGCATCTGGGTGATCGCAAGCCGACGCAACTGCTTCGTCAGATGAAGCAGCTGATTGCTGACTTCAACATTGATGAAGCATTTCTCAAGCAACTGTGGTTACAGAGGTTACCACAGTCGGTTCAAGGGATCCTCGCACCCTTCCATAAGTGTCCCTTAATAGAGTTGGCGGAAGCGGCTGACAGAGCTGTGGATGCTACGAAACCCAACACTAGTATCTCAGCTGCACTGTCTACTGCCACGGATTCGTTCAAAAACCCTCCCTCGGCTGTTGAGCCAACAAGTTTCGATGTTATAACTCACATCTCAAAATTGTATGAGGAGTTGTGCAGCATCAGGAACGAAATGCGGTCTGGTAGTGCTTACAACGGTCGCACGTCTCGCTCGCGCAACAGGTCTGCCTCCCGTACCGGTAGCAGACGTTCCAAATCGCGACAATCACAACCCAGGTTGTGCTGGTACCATAAACGTTATGGTGCCAATGCCAAAAGTGCACTCGACCTTGCACCTTCGAGGCTAACCAGGCGGGAAACGTGTGAGCCAGCACGTGACGGCGACTAACGTCGCTGGCGAGCCACTTCCATGTCGCCTCTTCTTCGTCACTGATCGACATTCTGGGATACGCTTCCTAGTTGACACTGGGGCAGAAGCTAGCGTCATCCCACCTACGAAGGAAGAGCGTCTGCGGCCAATGTCTCTGCAACTTCGTGCCGCCAACGGTTCGCCCATCACAACCTATGGTCGGAGATTCCTCGATCTCAACCTTGGATTGCGTCGTCCCTTTCGTTGGGTTTTCATAGTGGCAGATGTGACCACCGGCATTATTGGTATGGATCTCTTGCAGCACTATCAGCTGCTGGTAGATGCTGGCAAGCATAAGTTGATAGATTCTACCACAACACTCTCTGTTTCCGGTATAGTCACAAAGACGCCGCCCCTCAGTCCCGTGTACTGCACGACGGACGCTTCTAGTCCCTACGCGTCTATCATTCAGTCCTTTCCGGATGTCTTTAAGCCAAGTCGTTGTGTCCCTTGTGTGACTTCGAACGTTTCTCATCACATAACGACGACTGGCCCGCCAGTGTTTGCGAAACCACGGCGATTATCCCCGGAGAAACTGCGTGCTGTAAAAGCCGAGTTCGAACACATGCTTGAAATGGGAATAATCAGACCATCCAACAGTCCATGGTCTTCACCCTTGCATGTGGTACCCAAGAACAATGGCATGGACTGGAGGCCTTGTGGTGACTACCGAAGGCTCAACGCTAAAACGATTCCAGATCGTTACCCAGTCCCTCACATTCACGACTTGACTGCATCTTTAAAAGGCTCGGTTATCTTCAGTAAGCTTGACTTGACGCGTGCATATCATCAGATCCCGGTTCATCCTGATGATGTTCCCAAGACAGCCGTCATTACACCGTTTGGTCTTTTTGAGTTCCTCCGTATGCCTTTTGGTCTTCGCAATGCAGCACAAACCTTCCAACGTTTTATTCACGATGTTTTACGTGGACTCGATTTCGCCTATGCCTACCTAGACGATATACTAATCGCTAGTCCAGACGAAGACACCAATTTTAACCACTTGAAACAGGTTTTCGCCAGACTGTCAGAGCATTCGATGACAGTCAACCTGGCCAAATGCCAATTGGCGTTCGTTCACTAAAATTTTTGGGACACGTTATCGACGAGCAAGGCATTCGCCCACTACCTGAAAAGGTACAGGCGATCCAAGACTTCCCAGTCCCAGCGTCACTTAAAGCTCTGCGTGTGTTTCTGGGTATGGTGAGCTATTATCGTCGCTTCATTCCCCAATGTGCACACATTTTGACTGCACTGACCGACCTGCTGAAAAGTAAATGTAAAACTTTCAGCTTGACTCCTGAGGCACTAGAAGCATTTCGCAAGATCAAAACCGCAATAGCAGACGCCACGATGCTGGTGCATCAAGACGTAAACCTACCTCTTAGCATTGCGGTTGACGCCTCTAACACGGCCATTGGAGCTGTGTTGCAACAACTTTCGGATCACACTTGGATCCCAGTTGCATTCTTCTCCGGAAGTTATCCACCTGCGAAATGCGGTACAGCACTTTCGGCAGGGAACTGCTCGCCATATATGCCTCAGTGAAACATTTTCGTCATTTTGTGGAAGGTCGTGACTTCATCATCTTTACCGACCATAAACCTCTGACGTATGCCTTACACACCACTACTGACAGATATTCACCGCGTGAATTACGTCACCTAGATTATATTTCGCAATTCACGTCGGACATCCGTCATATTTCTGGTGTGAATAACCCTGTCGCGGACGCACTGTCTCGCGTTTGCACCACTACTTTGCCTCGAGCAGTCGACTTACGGAAGATTGCCGAACTTCAGGATTCAGACGAGGAGATTGAAAAACTTCAACACTCATCCTCTCTGAAGATACAGCGTTACCGCTCCTGAACAGTGAAGTGTCAATATTGTGCGACACCTCCACAGGCACACCCAGACCCTTGCCGCCGGACTCCCTAACAGACTCGTTTAGTCGCGCGTATCCTGAACCTTCTAAAAGAGCCACGTCTAGTAACACTGATCCAGTAACCTCTACACGTGCTGGGAGGCGTGTACATTGGCCCAAGCGATACGCCGAGTTCGTTAATTAGCCCCAGAGCAACTTCACACTTGGTGAATTCGGAGTTTCAACTACTTTGTCGTGGCATACACTTTCAATGCGTTTTCATACCTAAAGTTTTCAAAAGTCATGTTTACTACTTTGCAAACAGTTTTTTTTTCAAAAAAAAAAGAAAAACCAAAAATACAATTTAAATTCCGAAAACTTTTTTTGGTTGGTTATTATTTTTTTTTCTGTACTCCCACTTCGAATTGTTTGGTTTTCCTTTTCTTAGCACTCTAATGTCCCATTTCTTTCTTCTTGCAGAACCTAGAAAATGCGTTGAAAATTGGATACAATTGGCCGCTGACGATGCTACTTGGATCGTTCTTCGGTTCTCTTTGTACCAATTTCCCCCTGTACACTCCCCGGTAGATTAAGAAGCAATAGGGAAAAGTAGACGGAGGCTTTGGGTCACCTTCCACCACTGCGAGAAGGGTTGCGTCTAGACGCAAAGTTATCTTACCTCGTAGGTGTGCATAGTTGCACTAGCTTCGGAGACCCACACGTCACCTACTCCATCACCAATATGGAAAGGTGTTGCGTGTCCGCCTCGCAGTCGCCTCCTAGGATCGAAGGTTGCCGGTATCCCAACAACCTTCTAGGAGGGGGATAACCTGTAGTGCACCTTCCTGGCACCAAAATATAACTAGGGCTAAAATAAATAGTTTAAATTAAATTAACTAAATAAATCTCTAGCTTGCCTCCGGATGCTTAGGGTGTTTTAAGTTTTGTTTTAACGAGCATGCATCCGAGCAGGCTTGGACGCCATTTTTGCGCTCCATTGTGCTGATCACCACGCACGTACTCCGAGTCCCTAGTTCAGCCTTACAAGCCAGATAAGTTGATTAAACTTTTCCCTCATTCATTATTATAACATTTACCTTAAATACATAGCTCCTTTAAATACATTGCGTATCAGTTCTTTTGATTTGTGTTTTGTTACCAGTACTTACACGTTAGGTAAAGTACTGGTTAAGCAGGTACTAGAGCACATCAAATTAAGTAGGGTTGATCAAACGTTACGGAATTGTAACACCCATCTCTACAAGCCTACTGCATCACGTACTGCTGAGGAGCCCTATACTGGGACGAAAAAGTTGTCCAGTGCTACCAGGTTGTCCCCAAATATCAGTCCGTAATGAATACTAACCCTAAATTAAAATCCTCACACAGAAATATGTGTTCTCAAAATAATAGATGTGACCCTTTGTCTACCCTGGACTACTTGATCAAGTACAACGATAAATTATTCCTCTCTACTCGATATAAATTACAAATTATTCACAAATAATTTATTATTGTAAACCATGTTGTTTGTCATATGATTGTAGGGGGACTACAAAATGACATCACCTCGTAATATGTCTTCTTGATGCTTTATTTAAGTCGGAGAAGGTGACCGCAAAAAGACTTTACTTCTGAATACAATATATATGCTTATTTAAATTGCTTTTCATTTTATGTTATATCGAGGTGCACAAACATAGTAACACTTCAGATAAAAACTAGAAAATGTATTCCATCACTAAGGTAATTTTAAAAGTAATTCGAATCACAACTTCATGTCTACAGAATAATCATCAGAAATCGAAGAATATTGAACAATTGTTCAACTGTATCTTAAAACTTCCTGGAAGTAGGTATTAATAAGTCCTCTCGTTATTGAATTTGTAGGTGTAAAGTACGGTTTTGCACTGTCTACATTGATTTTCATATCCTTGAATTCTAAATAGAAATATTCAACATAATAAAGTGAAATGTTTTGTCATATGCTAACAAAAGAAATCATGATTTATCAAAGCAATAACTTACATTAGGTTCCCAACCTTCTAATTCCTTTAAACAAACAAAACATTGAGTTACATCAGGCAACTTTGAATCTGGTCGGAAGAATCCTGATCTGGCCAACTTTTCAGCTGTACATTTCGACTTTCCAACATAAGGCCAATTATTTAGTGTACTCAGTCTATATGAGTATTTAGAAAGAAGAAACTTTTCGCTTAAATGGTTGTCTGACATTGACAAAAATCTGTAGAGTGAGTAAGTTAGAAGAAATATTATTCATAAAATAAACTATTGAATGTAATTTTACATCTAGGCTTTAGTATTTATATACTCAAAGTAAAAAATCTTCGTCTTGTTAACTGTATCATTTCCTCTGAAAATTTCTTCTCAAGTGCATTTGCTTGGAAAGTAAAGTGAACTAGTCATCTTCATCCTCTGGTTTAAAAGCATTTCAACTATCTTGAAATGAATTTTTTTTAATTCTTAGAGCTAAGATTCTAAATATTAATCACAGAGGTCTTCTTACACAATCCACTTATAACAGTTACCAGATTTTTGTGAAGAGTTTACCAGTGTAATATTCCATCAAGCCACAGAACTTGACGTCTACAAAATCTAAGACTGACAGTTCAGTTATAAAAAACTAACGTTCCGGTCTACAGATTTCTCAATAACAAGTATGAAAATGAAATAGGGATTATTTATGCTAGTGATCAGTAGTTAAAGTAAAATTTGTTATTGTTAAGGAAGTATTTATCACACACTAATACCAGGTGGAGAACTATTAAAAAAACCTGGGAGTACTGGACAGCTGTTTCGTCCTAGCATAGGACTCTGCAGCTCCACGCACTCGCGACCTTCAAGTTTAACGGCGAGCACATTGAAATTAAGCCACTGAGTCGAGATCCAATGTACAACACATTCTCTTACGCCTATCCATTCATGATACAATATGACCTTAAAAGAATGCAATCTTTGAGACAAACCAACTCAGACATGAGGAAAATTACTCAATAACTGCAATTCACTAACTTTTTATAAACGTTCACTATCCTTGTTATATATATGGTAAGCCTGATTTACCACATAGGTTTGTTTAGAAAACTGGGTGGGCCTCGAGGCATATCTGCATGTCTCCATCTTTTGGTAAGGAGACTGGAAAGCACAAAGCAGTTGATGACAGTCTACCCTTGGAAAATTTATCTAGGCTCCTGGAAGATACGGAATTCGATGTTAGTAGGCCAGTGTTCTAGAAGCTTGTCACAGTTTCCCACATTTTCAAATGTCACTCACTGTGACATGGATGATCACACAGTAATCTTCTATCGTCCGATACATCTAGCAGCTTTTCACGACCGTCTATCAGCGGTTTGTCTATTTCACCGAAACTACTTGGACTTACTGAAAATACCGAAGTGCAGATAGACGCAGGAAGCTGTTCCTCTTTATTTAGTGAAAGAATGCCGTGATATCGCCGCCATACTCAGCAAGTAGATGGTCAGCGACAATATGCTCGCCTTCACAGACAGTCTTTTGGTTGAATATGATAAGCGTGGCATACCTCCTCAGAGGGATTAGGCTCTGCTAGAGTGGGACAACATCATGCGGTGGGGTAATCTTCATTACTAGATTATTATGATTACTTTAGCTTCCTGGGCCGACTATACACCCCTGTTATTCAAGGAAAGATGTAGTTATTCACAGAGACCAAGATAAACCCAGTCTGAAATATTAACTGTGGCTTGCACGAGAGGTGGTATATCAAGCTGTATCTGCCTGATATTTAAGCGGATTGATATAATGCATTTCACCTCTGCACCAGTAAACTACTTTTTATTTTGCCTACCTAGAAATCGTATGCATTTTTAAAAAGTAGTTATGATGTATATTTCGAATAATAAATTATACGAACACTTGCCTTTTTTGCAGGCAATATCTGATTGTTACGTTCCCGGTGGGGCTGAGAAAATTTAAAAAGAGTGAATCTTCACAACATACGTAGTCTGCCACAGGATGCGATTATTTGCACGTTGCTCGCCACAAATATTAGATAGTGACCCTTTCGCTACACAACAGTAGTGAATAGTAACAGAGGTATTGTCACTCACCATGAGCTTTTATCAGAAAAAATGTGATTAAGCCTCAGCACTTCAGTTAATGAGTCGCATAAACAGTGAAAGTGCATAGCATGTAAAATGCCTGGCATAAACAAAGCTGAAAAAAGCGAATATTCCACGAGTTTTTGCTGTTTACAGAGAGCATGAAAAACTAGATTTAAGTCCTGGTATGGGCAGTGGATAGGGCTTGGGATCAGTATCACACGGTGTCATGCAGCATGTAGCGGTTGTTTAGGATTATGTTGCTGAAAACAAATTCATTGAAATTTAGTAAGCTTAAGTTGTGAATCAGTCCAGAAACTGCTGTCATCCTCTATTTTCAGTCTTCCTCCTATGGCGTGCGTTTAGGGAACCACAACACGTTAGGTTTCTCACTGCAGGAAAAAGCCAGTGGCGTGAAGAATATGTGTAGTGTGTTTGAATCTATCAGTTGGAATACAATTACGACGACGATATTCATCATGGACAGCTGGTTGACACTAGCGTTTTTATGCTACGTATTTATTCATGTAAACCAGACCGTCATGCAAGATAGGTGAAGGCATGTAGGAACTTACTTCATTGAGTACATGGTGGCAAATATTTGACACAAAACTTGCAGCAGTCATTCCAAGTCCCTGTTTTTTCAGCTGTCGCCTCCTTCCCCGTGGATTCACCTGAAACAAAAACATGAACTTCCTTATAGGTGAATAAAAACATTTCCTGTTGAAAGACCAATATATATGGAACCTTGACAATTTTGTTTGCCTGCATGAACGTGGATGGTGCGAAGCATATTTGTCGAAGCGTCAGGAAGAACAAGTAAGAAATCCGAATAAATAGATGTATTAGAGAATTTAGTTCCTGAAAATATTCCATTTCACTTTAGTTGAGTGGAATTAAGAATTGCATACAGGTTTTCCCACGAATTGGACCACATTTACCACCTGAAATCAACGTCTTATAAGTATCATGGCTTCAAACTTTAGAAATGTAAGTATTATGCGGGTAGATTGCAGTCCGAAACAGAAGAATACGCGACACAACCGTTTTTGTGCTAACAACCTTTTGCTGCACTTTGTTTTCCAAAGGTTCCATTTTTATCTCCTTTGTGGACATTTATGCCATATTTATGCCATCAAACAAGCAGTACATGCAGTATTTCGGTCGAACGAAATCATTTGGTCATGCACGCAATCGGCTTATTGTCGCATGTATCCAATCTCGGAACGGCTGGTTGAAAACGTTTTAAGACTGTGAAGGAGTATTTGGCACGTTTAGAGGATAGTTAAACGATTAGAACGAACTGAGAGCAAAGAGCGTGACTCATATGTTTGGTGGGATATTTGGTAGCTCAAAACTCAAGCAGCTTGTAAGGTAGGGAATGGGAAACTGCGAAGCGTGGTGACAAGAATCCTTAGGTTCGGAAATCTGCAAATGAAGGGACCCCTGAAGTTGCCCAGTAAGAGCAAGGAGCTTGCCTGAATGACCGTATGGTGCACTTTAGTAGCGCAGATGAGTTGATAGTTTTATCATCCGCTGGCAAGATCTAGTGACCGGTGCAACTTCAGGCTCAGTAGTTATGTCTGGACAGGACTCCAGGAAAGAGCAAAGTCATCCTTTTTGAGCAACGTACCATTCAGTTTTCCTTTCAGCCCCTACACTATAATTCTTGGTTTCTTTAACGCACCTAAGGTTGACATTTTTGGGTTATATTTCTAGTGGTGTTGACCAATCCACTGAAGTCCGATTCTACATACTTGTTCTGTGAATTGTAATGACGGAAACCCAGATATCACCCTGGTTAGATTGCACATCCTCGATGACGAATTTTCAGCACCTGCCCTGCATTCCCCTTTCCTTTTGGAAGAAGTCACCCCGGTGTTATTGACTCCCAATACGTCTCTAAAACCAAACCAACTCTCCCATGTGCTGACCGCCTTTGAAACTTCAAGTGATTTAAGATTACGGTTTTTAAAAAATTTTTAGGAAGGACCGTTTGGGACGCTGCTTTTGTGAAGCAGGCTACGAATGCATACATCTGCACCTGACAAAATCATGTTTCTCGACGAGAAGTTTGTACAAATCGCAGCTTTACAGGGCTCTAAGCCACCCAATGTAGTAACCAACTCTGTCTGAAAGCTGCGTGGAATGAAAAGATACCAGTGGATAGAATACGAAAGGAATACCGATGAACCCATACACTGACCACTTAAATAAACAAGATACACATGCGAAGGCAGTCGGAGCCTACCAGGAACGGTGTCGAGTTAGGCTTGCGAAGGTATCTTTACCCGACCTCAGAAGTCTGTTCCGCATCAAACCATCGTTTTAACAGGTCGAAACTTAGTCCACTCGGCTATCAGGTATCAGAGTGCTGATCAGCATTGACAGTTGAGCAGCGGAACTCACGGCTGCCCTATATTTGCAAATATCTCTATTACTGACCTCATACCCAGGAGTTTACGTGTGTCCCTCTAATCAAGTACTACTTTTGACTGTTAACCTGCAGGCTGAGCTACTACAGAGCAAACTGCTGCTGCTCACAAAAGATACCTATCCGGGACTGGATATCAATCATGGGGCAGTTTTCCAGGAAGGGGAACCAACAATGGTCGAATTTTTAGTCGATTTATTTAAGGATTTTCTAAGCCGAATAAAAGCCCCCAGTCCTTATAGGTTGGGTCACATAGTATCGATCCTAAAAGGTGGACAACTGATCAACCTGAAGAAATACGGAGTGAAGTAATGGAGTTGCCAAATCACGATTGAGTCAGGGATCACCTAACAGCGATTAACTTCTTTGGACTCTAACATCGCGGAGCCAGAAAACGGCATTCTGACTTAGCTATGTTGCTCACCACGTCTTACGGATGAACTATCGCTGACCGTCGAGACAGAGCTGTTCCTATTCATCTGGACTGTACAAACAGTTCGATCGTGCTGTTCTTTGCTGTCTTATTGATAAATTAAGTTTGATCGGGATCGAAGCACTGCATGTTGACTGGCTGTTCACACATGTTGGTGGCCGTTTGTTTGGAGCTGGAGCAAGCTTTTCCGAAGAAATATAGTGTCCAACTGAGGTTCCCCACGTTTCGACACTAGTCCCCCCTGTTTTTCTGCAATACATAATTGATTTCATTTAGCGAGTTGCTTCTGAAATCGTGCTCTGTCGGCGATACAAGACTACGTAGAGAAGTCAGAAGTCAGGAAGGTGGAGTTTTCCTGCAAGAAGACTGAAGACAGCATCAAAACTGGGTAATCAACAATGAATTTGGATTCAAGTCTTCAGAATGCAGGGTTGTACGTTTAAGATACGGTGCATTTCCCGTATATAATCTTAGTGATGCGCAATAAGAAGCCTCACAGATGAAGAAGGATTTGGTCGTAGTCCCTTGGAACAAGATCCCGTGTTAACAGCGACAGCTTTTCAAAGGGCGTTCATTGCTTCGCTTCAGCCACGAAGTTCGCTTCCTTGGTATTGCTGTGATTATTGGGAAGTTTTCAGAGATAGCCCTCCTGGTGACATCTCTAGCTAGTTCCCAATGTTGATCAACCGAAAGGTCACTCCACTCCTAAGGCCATGGTGCTGTTGGTAGGTATTGGTTCATCGCCACGTAGTTTGCCTTGCTGTAGCAAAACAAGGGCGAGACCCCTCCTATGAGTACCAGACTGAACACAATGACGCCGCGATTGACTATTGCCGAGAGGGGTTTGAACCTGTACATTTTCTACCAGCAGGTTATCACTGGTAGAGAGATAGTCCAATTTGGACGGCTTTCCGCCCAACCCGCAGCG